ACATGTTCACTTGAAGTCTGAGTTATGTAGTATCCCGGTGTGGAAATAAGGACACAATTTCGTGTCACGCTGAGAAAAATCAAACAAACAAACAAATATGTTTTCTGTTGGGGCGTGATGTTTTCTTACCTTGTAGCACTCGTCAGATTGCGCCCAAATTTGTATTTCGAAGTTGACAGTTGAGTTGATGGTGAGCCATGCTCTGTCCAGTTCTCGCTCTTCTTCCTCTTCCTCTTCTTCTACTTCCATCGACTCATTAGCGAGCATGGCGTTGTAGGAAGCGATGAACTGGTGGTACCGGTCATTTTGCCGCACTGACGGCTCAGTTTCCGGTTGTGGCTGAGGTAGAGGCTGAGGGTCTGGGGTGGATGATACTTCCTGGGACTGGACATTGCTGGACAACACACCTGGGTTGGTTATTCAGAAAGTTAAATTATATATATATATATATATATATATATATATATAAATTCCAAAATAGATTTCTCCTTCCCATCTTCAATCCTATTAAAATCATTCTCGATATTGCTCTTCCATTCACCATAGTGTGGACCTCCGATCTAGCTTCCATCTCAGAGCAAAGAGTGCGGTGAGCGATGAAAACGTTCGTCATCTCAGAGTTAAAGAGTGTGGTGAACAATGGAAAGGTTCGAACAACCCAAGTTCCAGAATGTCCTGCGGGGGAACTGGAACAGTTAGCTCAGACCTTTGTTAAGCATGATAACGACTCCGCCAACGATGCGGCTGTAACAGTTCTGTACTATTCCCTAGAAAGAAACTACAACATCCAACACAAAATCTAAGGCAACACCTCACCCCTCCCCTTTTTGTATTCTGCTCCGTTTCCGTACCTGATGTGAGTCAAACTTCCTTGAGCAACAGAAGTGGATGAGAGAGGAGATGAGGTAGGTCAAGGCCAGACGCTGCAGCACCCCCATCACCCTCACCGTGGGCAGGTCGGCGACTGGACAAAGTGGAGTACAAGACACATTACTTAGCTGAGATTTGAATTGGTTCACTGTCTATTGATTGGTCGATCGGTTGGTGAGTGGTTTGTTAGTTGGCTGGCTGGTTGAATGGTTGGTTGGTTGGTTGGTTGGTTGGTAAGAAAATAGCTAGTCAGTTTGTTGGTTGGTAGGATGGTTGATTTTTGGGGGGCTTTTTAAAAGTGATTTTGAGAGAGAGGAAATGGCTGACTAAGCGAATGTGTGATGTAAACTGATTGATAATGGTTATGAAAATTGGTTGATTAGCTAAGAGGAAAACACCGGCGGGATCAACGATGCAACTAAGTGAAATTCAAAAGACAAACAGAAAAGACAAATCATCAATGTTGTGTGACATTGTTTGTATGTATTTGTGTGAGTGTGTGAGCGCGTGCACACGGGTGTGTGTGTGTGTGTGTGTGTGTGTGTGTGTGTGTGTGTGTGTGAGAGTAAAAGACAAAGATAACATAGAAGATGAAAACAAGGGGGGAAAATACGTTTCGCGGTTGACAAGCCGTGTCTATTTATTCTTCCTGTTATTATGCGCCTTGCTAATGTTTTGCTTTTAAGTAATTCAAAGCAGTTTTTTGTTTGTTTCCGGGAATAACATAACCGTTAGTATTTTAATATCCTTCTAGCATAAAAGTCTCTTATCTTGATTTTTAATAAAAATGTTTTACGCCCTCATTGGTGCAATTTAGATCATTAAAGAGAAGGGCTCGACCCAACACACCAGTGCCAATTTGGGATGAGAGAGAAACGATGTCCAAGCAGTAAGACCTAGATATTCTGTTTTAAAACGTCCCAAAACGGAATTCGAACTCAGGTCTTCTTCGTGCGATAGCTAAGCACCTAACCGCTACACCAAGGACGCCGGTATATAAGTTTCTAACTGGTGCCAACATAAAGGACGATGTACCGTAGTGGTGAGTGGCCAGTACAAATCCCACGACGAAGATCTTGGCGGAACGATACACAATTCTCCATGTGATCCTTGGCACGCTCCAGCCTTTGTTGAACATGCTCTTGAAGGAAAAGTTCATGGACGCTCCCATAATGAATACAAACCTTGAAGAAGAAAAAAAGATGTAGAAAAAAAGAAGAAAAAGGGTGGCCGAGGGGAAAAGGCCGAGGGGGATCTTAAGTAGATCAAAGTTTCACTTTATCAAAGAAATCATAATTTTGCACCTGTTGTGCGATATTTAATACACAAACTAACCTGTAGATGAACAGGTTCTCAGGAAAAAAATTGAAAAATGGGCCATCAGACATGTAAGTTCATAAGATGATAAAGACAGATATAATTTGACTACTCTTGAAACTGAGGAGAACAAGTAAACAGACAAACTGAGGGCAGACAGAAAGGTTGAAGGACGATCATACTGTGATAGCATACTAACAGACTAACAAAGATACAGGCTGGCAGATATGGTGTAGCGAAAAAAGGAAAACAAAAAGTTTTTGTTGTGTGCAATCTCTTCCCTGTCTGTCTGTCTGTCCGTCTGTCCGTCTGTCCGTCTGTCCGCCTGTCCGTCTGTCCGTCTGTCTATCTGTTTGTCTGTCTGTCTGTCTGTCTGTCTGTCTGTATGTATGTATGTATGTATGTATGTATGTATGTATGTATGTATGTATGTATGTATGTATGTATGTATGTATGTATGTATGTATGTATGTATGTATGTCTCTCTGTCTCTCTCTCTCTTTCTCTCGTTCTCTCTTTCCCCTCCCCCCTCTCTTCTCTCTCTCTGTCTCTGTCTCTGTCTCTGTCTCTCTCTCTCTCTCTCTCTCTCTCTCTCTCTCTCTCTCTCTCTCTCTCTCTCTCTCTCTCTCTCTCTCTCTCTCTCTCTCTCTCTCTCTCTCTCTGTCTTGTTGTCTGTCCATGTATTTTGCCCTCTATCTTTCAAAACATCTCCCTCTGCGCCTCTTGCTCTCCCTGGCTCTCTTTCTCACACAAGCAAACACAAAAACACGGACGAACAAACAGAGAACTGGGCAGAGAAGGGGAGTTACTGATGGCCGAAGCACACACTTCTTGTGTCCATAACCCCGGGGAACTCACCAGGGGAAGACAAGGTCAGCCACATGAACGCCGTTCCAGGGCGCGTGCTCAAAGAACCAGTATCCTCCTCCGCCATAGTTCACGAAGATCATCAACATGAGCGTGAACCTGCAAAACCAACTGTCACTCAGACAAGCTCGTGCGGTGGTGTTTGATCATGAAACGAGACGAATAGCAACCATTTTTAATTTGGCCACAGCGAGACAGAGGGCGAGGGCAGAGGTGCACGTTCTATTTGCCTTTCCTCTTTTGTCCTCTTACTTTTTCTTTTCGGCAAAAAAGGCGCAGGGTGATTAGAAAGCGTTGTGAACATGAATCTTTAAACCTGACTTTGTTCAAGATTTGACCAGCTCTTGCTTTAACATATTCTGTTTGTCAACCTGGCGTGTTTGTTTGTCTATTTGTTTGCTTGTTGTTTTGTTGGGTTTTTTTGCCCCTCGGGACAGGAGGTACATATATATGTTTGTTCAAAAGCTTTCCTTTTTACCCTTAAGCTTGATTAACCATCCAGTTTACATCAATTCGCGATATGCCACCCACACTGACAATATTACATGCTATAAACGATTGCGACAGCGCAGTGCCTGCTAGCCATTTGCTGCTGAGTAAGTAAATAAAAGCCAGCGTCTGTGGTGTAGTAGTCAGGCGCTTCTCTGGGGCATGCAGGAGACAAGAGTTCGATTTGCGTGTGGGGAGAGTTTTTTTTCAAGAGAATCCGTTTTTCTACTGGAATGCCATATCCCTCTCAGCCCTGTTTGGCGCTGATAGGCAGGATCGGAAGCCCGCATCCTAAA